TTGGCAAATTATTTGGGTATGTTAAAAGATGAATGAGGCTGAAAAAAAGCACTCTGTCTGTTAAGTTTTCATTTAGAGATATTCTTGCCAAAATGGAAAATAAAACGGAGTGTTATCAATATTCAAGCTTGAAACATTTCCCAAAAATGAAAATCATTATTGTCAGTATTTCTGTATTCAGTTGGTGTCACTCAGTATTTCTGTATTTCAGAAAATGATGGAGAAACCTTCACATTGTCTGAAGCAGTGGAAGCAATTGGGATGGGAAAATTCCAGATCCTACTCATTCTAATGGCTGGTTTTGTTAATGTAAGTATGGGTTTGAAGCTGTATTTTCTTCAGTGAAATATCTGCAATTAAGTCTTTAAAAAGCAACAATCCCTGTTTGATTTTGGTCTTTGGACGATATTAGCCTCAAATCATTCTAACAGTCCTTTGACAGGCTATGAATTCAACACAATTTCCTACGTGACTTGGCACCATACCAAGCCAGTTGCAGCCTGATCTTTGTTAACTATAACCTCAAGCATTATACAGCACACAATAAAACACCATGTAGCTAACGTTTCAAAAAAAGAAAAAAATGCACAAGTAACTACCAATATTGCTCAGACTTGAAACAGTGAAACTGTGCTTCTGTTACTTACTTTCCTTTGATAATGCCTATTATACTGCATGAGGGCAGACGGTGCATATAATGGAGGTCAGGAAATGTCAAATGAAAAGAAGTGTTCATTTGTACATTAACCCCAACACANAAACTAAAATCTCACATTTGATTTTTGGAGGAATACATCCACTTTGAGCAAATTTATAGGGTATGCAGATTTGATGGATTGCCGTGAAATTTCACCAGAACATTCCAGAGATAATAATTTGTAATTATTACAAACCAAAGTGTCGGGAAATTTTGATATTTAACACATTTTTCCTGTGGTGTCCATTTACACAACATGTCTTGCATATTTTTTGCTGCTCCAACTTTAGATGTGGATATCTAGACAACCAATCAGAATATCGAAAAAGCCCGACACACTTTTGGTGATTGATGCCTTTTGAATAAGACTGTGCAGCCATTTTGCTCATACCGCAGAATTCGATATGTGATAAATTCAATAGAAGAACCCTTGGTTGTTTCACGCCTTATCGCCTCCTGACACTTCCTAAAAGAAAACATTGCTGAAATTGTAATTTTTTTGTAAAGTACAGTTATTATGCTTATGATATATAGTTTGTTGGGGTTTTATTGAAACTGGCGTGCATATGATTTTTTTCCCCAAAGGGTAACCGTGAAGGTGGGAAGTAACCTTAACCTGGTTATATAATGAAAATGTAAGAAAACAAAGTCATAAGTACTCAATGAAAATGTAGACAAACAAAGTCAAAATACTCAATTTTAAGTAAACATCTTAGCCCTGTAAAAGTCAAATGCATGAAGTAGAGTTTGGATTATTCAGAGTAATCTTTGCATTACCGAAACTTAAGGAACTCGCCCTAAACTTGACGGAAATTTTGCAGCTAAATTGAAACTGCACACGTCATGTTATATGCACACACGACCATGTGTACATAGAGATTTTGTTCATGATGGCTAAATAGGAATTAGGTAGGACTAGCGTGCGCCCTATGTTGTAATAAATTTTCTTCTGCGAGCCAGTTCAAAAATCATATTGAATTATTTTCAACTGTTTTAGATGATAGCTGCAAAAGCCAAATGTAAAATTTGAAAAAGAAAACAGACTAAAACCCATTTAATACAGTTTCAATTGTTTATTTTAAATAAACAGGCTTGTTTACAGAAAAACATTCACTGATGAGTACTATCTATCTGGGTATTTTCCTCGGACTGGCACTATGGGCTGATAGTGTGTCCCAATGGATGAACACTATTGAGTCACATGATCAATTTAAACCCACAAGAATCGGAGAAAATTTAGTGGTGAACTATAACAAGCAATAGATAATCATTGCCTAACTCTGTACTATTTGTGTCAAACTGGTTTTAAGAGGTTGGCTTTCTAAAAGCAATCATTTAATTTATATTCAACAATTAGGTTATGAGCTTGAGATTTCTATCGTGTGATAGTTGACAAGGATGCAGCCTGAGTCAACTGTATAAATCAAGAGCAATATAGTCTAATTGTTTTAGTACATGTATAAATCCACTAGTCATTCAAAACTTTATCTAAATCCTCTTCACTGTTGAGACACCTTGAAAACACAAAGAAGCAGCTGTCATTTTGTTAACAAGTGCACACTGCTATGCTAAGTACTCATCCTGCTATGCTACTCACCATCTGCATCAGGATAGATAGTGAGTAGTGTAGCCAATCAGAGAACAGCATTTGAGATGGAATGCTAGTATATTTATACAATATAATAATAGCAAATAAATGATATAAATGAAGGGCACTGGTACTAGAAAGCCTCCACCAGTTTGATAAGCAATATTGATAACAGTTGTTTCTTTGTGATTACAGACTGTCTTTGTTGGTATGGCAGTTGGCTGTCCAATCTGGGGCTGGCTCTCAGACAATTTAGGCCGCAAAAGTGTGAGTTGAAGTTTGTTGTGTGATTTTGGGCCATGTCTTCATGTACCAGTGCACTAGGGAATAACCAAGGTTGTACTTTCCTTTTTAGGAGTCATTGGTTAGCTATTAATAGTGTATTGTTTGGTCTTTTGTATTTGGTTCTTGACTGTGTATTTTGCTTTTATTAGCTCATCAAGTTAAGTGCAACTCTTGTTTCTGTAGCATGTCGCACCTAGAAATATATTTTATATATTATGATTATTATATTACACGTATTATCCATTCTTCCAAGAATAAAAGCCTGCAGTCCACTGTGGGTCCTCCAGTAAAATAAAATTCACAAGTTTGCTAATTAATGCTTGACTCTGATTCACAGATGATTTTTATAAGTGCAAGTTGGCTGGCTTATTTTGGTTTCATTAGTTCGTTTTCACCTCATTATCTCTGGATTGTTGCCTTACGATGCTTGGTGGGCTTTGGAATTGGTGGTGTACCAACTATGTAAGTGTCTCACAACTGGAATGTGACTTGTCTCCTCTTCTGGAATAGCTTTCTATGTTTAAATTAAATCAAATGCATTTACATGTACATGTATATGTTTCAGTAAATACACAAACTATTTTAAAATACAGTGCTTGAAAAAAGTGCTGTCCAGTCGTCCTGTACAACTAGATTTTCCAGTCAGGCAAGTAACATTTCATTCTGACTTGCCTAATGGGCAAGGGCCCAGGCCAGTCATCTGCCAACTAAATGAGCAAAAAAGTAAACTAAGACTTGCCCAGGGCAGAGCCAAATTTGGGAGCTGCTTGTCCAAAGGGCGAGATGGAAGTCAAATATTTTTATGAGCCCTGAAGATACATGTATTGATTACAGTGAAGCTGTTGCAGATCAATACAAACTGTTTTTATTTACTTGAATTTCATCTTGTCTGCTAGCTGTACTCAATCTTATAGCATTGGTTCAAACATCAAAATTTAATATTGATTGACACTCTTGTTTAATAAATTTATATTAATAAAAGGTTGACGCCCTTTTTTCCAACAAACTGTTACTGAATGATTGGTCAGACAGTNGGATTGTTGCCTTACGATGCTTGGTGGGCTTTGGAATTGGTGGTGTGCCAACTATGTAAGTGTCTCACAACTGGAATGTGACTTGTCTCCTCTTCTGGAATAGCTTTCTATGTTTAAATTTACATGTATATGTTTCAGTAAATACACAAACTATTTTAAAATACAGTGCAACTAGATTTTTATGAGCCCTGAAGATACATGTATTAATTACAGTGAAGCTGTTGCAGATCAATACAAACTGTTTTTATATACTTGAATTTCATCTCATCCGCTAGCTGTACTCAATCTTATAGCATTGGTTCAAACATCAAAATTTAATATTGATTGACACTCTTGTTTAATATTTTATTTTTACAAATTTATATTAATAAAAGGTTGACGCCCTTTTTTCCAACAAACTGTTACTGAATGATTGGTCAGACAGTTGTGCTTTTCTCCTGTAACTAATAAATGATTTTTTGAGGCTGTGCAGAAGCAGCGGAGCATTCTGAAACATGGGGAGTTCATCATTACCCAAAATGTGTTTTGCAGCCCAGTCAAAATGTTTTTGAGTAGCAGGCAAGATGGCTGGAATAGTAGGCAGCAGAGGCTGAAGGCCTTTGAACAAGGGGCAGAGACCCTTGCTCACAAACGGGGGCTGGGGGCATGGCCTCTCCAGAAAATTTTGATAATATTGGCTTCAAATGGTTGCATCTGGTGCATTTTAGGGGTAAACTTAGCCCCTATTTGATAGCTTTTAGATACCTCTACTGACCAGGGAGCTTTCTTTTCAAATCCCGGGTACTGTCCACTACTAGTGTCATTGGCAAGCAAAGATAATTTGGCAAGTTTTTGATATTTTCTACAAGCAAGAAAAAATATTTCTGCACTTGCTTTCAGAAAGCACGAATTCATACAAATTTTGTTGATAAAAATGTGATCGTTTGCAGCTGATTAACGGTGCTCATGGCATCAATGTAAGTTAGTGATCAAAGAAAGCAGATAAAAGTCTTTAGGAAGTCACATAATTATCCATAATAAACTATTAAATTAATTTATATTTTAATATTAATAACAGTTAATTCATATTTTCAGGTACACTCTACTGATTGAATTTCTACCCATCAATATGAGGTCGTACATCATTTTGTGTCTTGCTGTGAGTACATGTATTGCAATCCTACTTGGAACAATGTGTTGTTCTTCAAATGTTCAGTCTGTTTGTTATTAGTTGCGACCTAGTTTGTCGTGTACTATTCAAACCAATTCTCATGAAAGAGAATTGGTCAGCCTAACATGTTGCTCAAAATTTGAACTTTCCAATGGTATATTATTTCTCTTTTCAGTTTTTCTGGGCACTTGGATCAACATTTATGGTCGTTGTGTCACTTCTCATCATGCCGACACTTGGCTGGAGATGGTTGCTTGCATTTGCCACGCTTCCTGTTGTTATATTTATCATTTTATGCAAGGTAATTTTGAACACGTTTTGATAGTCAGCTAACTTTGTGCAAAGACGATTAGGTATCTGGATACAAAGTCCAGAAAAGGAGTGACAGTAACTCATGACCCTTTTATTCTTGCCTGACATAAGTCCAGAGAAACGTCATAAATGTACTAAGCACTGTTAGTAGTAAACACTCTTTTAAGCTCTCATTCTAATAAGACTTACAATTTTTGATAATTGCCTTTTCTGTTATCATGCTTTTCTCCCTTTCTCTAGGCATTAAGCAATGACACTTTATGACAAAGGAAAAATATGACAGATATTAAAAAAACATTGTAATTTTTACGAAACTGTGAATTATTGGCAAGTTTAAAAGTCTAGTACACAACATGTTTATGTCTTGTTGTTGTTTTTAACTATTTGTAGAGAAATCAAAGCATAAATAAGTAATGTGACAATCTCCCACATCAGTTACAGAAATGTATGAATGTTTGACTTTACATTCAGGCAGGGAATGAAATCAACTTTACAGATTACATGTATTGCAACATTTTGAATTGTTTCACAATCCATTTGCATTTATCATGCTGTCTTTCATGTTATTTAAGTGTAATGGTAGCCATTCTTGTTTCCAAATTGGTTCTTGTCATTTGTTAAATACTCACGTCCAAGAAAGTCTAACTATAGTACAATGTAGTCCTAAAATCAATTATGTACAAAAAGGTAGCATATTAAGTTGTATAAATAATTGAGAACACTCTTACATAATTAATAGTATTTCTGCTGCATCTGAAGTAAGAGGGAAAGTTCCTTGTAAATGTTGATTTCAAAAGAGAACTCAAAATTTTCCCATCAGAAGCCACTGTCGATAAAGTGAAGGAGCCTCCTTTAAAATATACTATTAGGCCTTTTTATTGAATGCACAACTAGACACTTTTAATCGCCCATTTAGAAGCTCCTGTCAATGAAGTGAAGAAGCCTCTTTTAAATATTCAACTGTACCTTTTTTATTCTCTTCATTAGTGGCTACCAGAATCTCCTCGGTACCTGCTTGCTGCTGGTGAAAAAGAGAAGGGCATGGAAGTGTTGCAACGCATGGCAAAGATTAATGGCTCTAAACTTCCTCCAGGAACTCTTAGAGTTGAGACAGAAGTAGGTTCTGTTAGAAATGTAAGGGTTCAGGATGCAGCTAGAAAATCAGTTTTCCAGCTTGCTCTTCAAGCAAGTTGTAACTAAGATGTGCTAGTCCAACACTCATTTTCACTAGCCCATGCACCCACATTTTTCCTCTAGCTGCATGGTTAATTACAGTAATTAAAATATTTTGATCTCCTACAGTACTTATATAATTTGAATTTTCTAAAATTTTACCCAAGAAAATTCACTTGCCCATGAGGCCAATCATGACGCCAACTTTGGTTGCCTGGTTTGACTGTCTGGAGGAATTTTTTCTTATACATGTAATAGTAGTAAATAAAAGAAGTTCAGTTCACAAAGTTTTGTCTGCTTGTGAAAGCCAATTGCCATCCTGTTGAAAACTTTGATTAAACCCCTGATCTGGTTGTTTTATCTAAAAGAAGTATTAATAATCTGTGAGAATATGGAGAAAATTATTATAAAGAATAACCTTCATTTTATGGCTTTTCATAAACAAAGTTTGAACTAATATACTCATTCTTAATTCCATTCTCTTTTTAGAGTGCACGACAAGGAAAAATCCAAGTTCTTTTCAATCAAGAGTATAGATTAACAACCCTTCTTCTATGGCTAATTTTGTGAGTTGACATTTTGATATACATTTACAATAACTAATCTACAATAATTGCTCCTAGTAATAATATAGGAGACACGGTGACTCTTTCTCCATCCACGTGTATAAATGATTATCCAACTGAACTAACTGCTGGGTGACCTTGTGATGGAGGAGCATCCCATTCTGGGGGAGTAGTTGCCCCCCTGGTGGCTTCATGCTATGGAAACTGGAGATATAAAGTGCCAACCTGTTGGTCCATTAGGCTTGGACAGACACCTTGTACCTAGTTACTCAAATCACATGAAAATAATTGTCAGTTTTGATGCAAAAGTAGTGATTACTTTTTCTTTTGATTCTTCTGAAATTATGTTTGAATATATGAAAGCTACTTTAACTTAGCACATCCAGCAAATCAACTCATTCAAAAAATGTCAGTGAAGAAAGAATAGTTTTTACAGTCCTTAAATTACAGGCTGTAAAATGTCCAGTGTTTATCTACAGTGGAGAAATCAGAGAATTTAAAAGTTGATTTTTAAATGTATTCATTAACATGTTTCGATGTGAATCTAGCCTATGAATGACCAGAGTTTCCTCACCCATAGTAATATGCAAGGGGAAGGGGAATTAAAAAGTATGGAGAAAGACGGAAGAAAGCAGGAGTTCTAGTAGGGAACTTCAGGTTGCTTTGTAACCTGGTTATCCTAATTTGGACCTGTGTTTTCTTAACAGTTTTTCTGTTGGAGTTTTGTACTATGGTGTTGTGTTGATGACAACTCAAGTTTTTCAGCAAATCCGCCCAGGAGAGAGTTTGTGCAGTGCAGGTACTTATCTTGTTTAGTTAGAGAAAACATCATTTTTTATTGGGTGGGAGTGGGTGGGTGCACATTTTAAGCTAGATATTGTCAATTTTGCTTGCCCATCATAGNGGGGGCACATTTTAAGCTAGATATTGTCAATTTTGCTTGCCCATCATAGTGATCAGAGCTGGATTGTTCAAAAGCCGGTTAACGCTAACCCAGGATTAAAAGGTAACTAAAGTATTAAATTTTCTTGTATAAAAATGTTTGGCACTTCCTAAGTGTTGCGTAGTTTTAGATTATTCAACTCAAAAGTGAAGAACAAGCAATATAAACAGAAAACCTCACCAGAGATTTACAAAACTGAAATCAAAATTCTTGCTAATCCTGGTTAGCTTAATCAGGCTTTGAACGACCTGGTCCAGAACGATTAATCGCTAGTGACAATCACCATGACAGTGGCAGGCACACTTCCCTATTTTTGCAATCACTGTAACAAGCATATTAAATTGTCCAACTTGGGTAAATTGCTTGAGACACTTCCTCTAAGGGGATGCCTCTAGAACTCTAAGGTAGACTCTTCTACTAAGCAGATGCTTATTTAAGTTGTTTTTTTATACTAAGGTTCGATCAATCATAAGACTACTACAGCCCAGTATGGTGCCTTTTAGTGCAGTAATAAATATGTTGTCTTGTTAGGGCCGATTTACACGATATGACTTTGTCGCATGCGACAAGTTTACGACAGGCCTACAACATGAATTGTTTCGTGTAAATCAAACCTACAACTTGCTTACGACTGTTGTGTATGTTAAAAAAATTGCCATAGGATTTTAAAACATGTTTTAAAATGCTGTGACAATCGTAGCCGAAATTTATAGAGAATGACATATTTTGTGACAAAGGAGAAGTTTTCTTGCGTCAAAATGGTGGACGAAGTTGTTGTTGACTGATTAACATGAAGTCGTTTCTCGAAAAGTACTGAATGGATTAAAGTGAAAAACATCTCATTAGAAAGTTTTTTCAAAGTGTAGGACAGCTGAAATATTTGTTTACCGTTTGTTAGAGCTTTTGCTCCATAGATCTCAGTGCAAACTTTTGCATATTTAATTTTGTAAGTGAAAATGTCGTGCGCGTGTAAATGTTCCTAAGTCATATTGTAGGCCTGTCGCAAGCTTGTCACATGTGTCAAAGTCATACCGTGTTAATCGGCCCTTAAAGTGTCCAGAACAGGACTTAACCTACCTAAGGTAGTAGTTCTCTGCAATCTACAGTCAAACACCTATTAAGTGACCACCCTAAGGGAGTGGGAGGTGGTCAGATGGCCAATTACTTAGGCTTCATAAAATCTGAATATATTTTTTTTGATATTTGGGTTAATTGCTTAGTGAACATGGGATCACGTTAAGACAATCATGTTCAACATGTATTTGAATGTTTTTATTGGCCGTCAAATTCTATTTGGACCACCACTTATTGTGTACCTGTCATCATCCTTTCCAAAAGATTGCCAAACTATATGTTTGTTAGATTTTGGTGGCTGCTTAAGGACAATAGAGAAAACATTGGGATGTGCCAATAAAAGGTGGCCGGTTAACAACAATTTTGGGACTTCGATAACTGGCCGCTTTATAAGGGGTGGCCACTTAATAGAGGTTTGACTGTAGTAGCTGTGCTGTTGTTTGTTGATGAATTCATTCCAGTGTTTTACTTGTTGTTAGAGAGTCTATCCACGTCTGTTACTGAATGTGGCTGCAAACTCTTAACTGTGAATGACTATATCAGTCTTTTGTGGACAACAGCTGCTGAGTTTCCTGGTGAGTTTCAAATCTCAAGCTCCAGATTTAATATCAACTCTTCTTAACTTATTTCTTTACATTTACAAAAGTGTTTGTTAGGTTTGTGTTTGATCAGTGTCGCTTAGTTGTTGATTCACTTTATTCTCATTACTTACAAGCCTGCTTGATGTGATATATCAAGCACAAAAGACAGTGTTTGACCACATTTCCAAACCCCAAGAAGAGAGTTGAGAATACGACATGTGGCAGAGTATTTTTCATCAATTTTGAGGTGTCTGAAAATGTGGTCAAACATGGTCTTGAGTATTTGATTTATCTTCTCAATCGAAACTAAAACTAAGGAGAAAACAGAGAAATAAAATTGTAAAAATCTATGCTAATTAAGACCAGATAATTCAAATGCCATCATGGTCATGATTTCCTTTGTATAAACTTGATGAATTATTATGGAGTTTGAGAAAGTGCATTAAGATATATACACAAGTATTTAATTTATCTCATGTGCAGTGATGTCTATGTATGTCATGTACTCGAGGGCCAAATGTTTTGCCATCCAGTTTTACCTAGCCTACTCCAGGCAGTCAGTTAGCAGTTGGTTAGCAACAAGAAAAGGGGTGAGAAAAATTGGAGCAGGGTGTAGTCAGCTGCTCTCCTGTAACACTTTTCTCTCTCCTTTCTTTACTCTGCTTTTCAACTAACCAAATGCTTGGAACAGGCAAGGCTTTACATTCTTCAGTCAATAAGTATTTTACCACAGCATATTTACCAAGTTTGATGTTGATGGACGGATAGGAAAATGTTTCAGTGAATGTTCTGCATTGGTCTTGCTAAGTGAATAGATTATTATTGTTGATGCATGTGGGACTGGAAGGCTTTTTCAAGACTGGCTTTACATCAGCCATTAATTTCATAACCTGTCTGCCACACTGAAGTGCAACATACATGCAAAAAAAAAAAAAAACTGAAAAATATGAAGAATGCCTCTTGCGAACTAGAACCTCGTTGACAGTCTGCCTTTAAAGCTTTTGTGACTTTGATGTGCCATTTCAAGTTGTTTCCAATTCGCAGAAGGCTTGACCAAAATTTTGAGGTTATGAATGCCTCTTACTCACTGTAAGGGGGGTAATATACCAGTGTAAGATTCACCATGTACCAGTAACTAGTTTCATAAGCCACCACCTTTACATGTAACTTTACAGAGTGAGAGAGGGTTTCTCTGTGCTTTAAAAACACTCTCAAAAATGAGTTCTCCAGTCACCTGATCTCTGTAAACAGACACCTTCATTTTCTATTTGTCAATTCTATTTTTTGCTCAGGAATATTGTTCACAATGCTTTTTATGGAGAGACTTGGTAGGAAACGAACTCTAGCTGGAGAGTTTTTCCTAGTTGCTGCAAGTCTGGCATTGATGTATATTTGCACTGGAAGGTAAAAGATATTGGAATTGTTACATCACATTCTCTCACAATATGTAAGATAGCCTACAGGCATAAAGGGATTTCTGCTTATTGTTTTATTTTTTTTATGTCGCTGAAAAACTTTTTTTCAGTGAAGAAACAAGATCTGTCTGAATTCACAGGTCATTTGTATGTTAATTTTAAGTCTGTCTCCATGTTTTGGAGGAATCAAATGGCTTTTGGTGGTTGCTGTCACTTGCCTGAGGGCATCTAGAAGTAGTGCTTACTACTTCTAACTAACTAAGCGAATAAGGCTTGACATTTTGGGTGGTCGCTTACGGGAGGGTCAACTGTATTTTATATATTTTTGTACTCCAGGGTGGAGAGAAACTCTATATGAGTAAGTTATCTTGCTCAAGAACACAAAACAATGACCCCGGTCAGGGCTTAAACAATCTACATTTGATAAGCACGCATTCATTAAAAACATTTCCCAATATTCAGTATTGAGCTCACAACAGGCAGCGTCATTTTTTGTGAATTTATATAGCAATGAAGTAACTATTAATTTCAAACTTAAGTTGTTTTTTAAACTTCTTTTCAACAGGACTCTTTTATTACTGTTTATATTCATGGTGCGTGGCCTTTCATTAGGTGTATTCCAGGGTTTCTTTGTGTATGCCCCAGAGGTGAGTGCATCACAGTTAGACCTTCATTTTATAGTAGACCGTAATGATTCGATTTAGGGCCCGGGACCCTAATTCACTTTTGGTGGCACAAGGGAGGGAACTTATCGGAGAGGGGGCGCCCATTAGGGACTTGATGCTTATTTCTTTTTCGAAAGGTTATGTAAACTCATGCCATACTTTCGAACCAAGCCTATTTTGCACCGTAGGACAACCGCAGAAATCAAATGGGCTCTGGTACTTTGTCTTCCCTTGGTCGCCCCTCCCACATTTGATTCTTGAGCCTGGTCCCCGCTGTTTTTTCAAGGTGAAGTGTTCATTTTCAGAACACGGTTTATTTAACTAATCAACCCTGAGGGTTTTGTTATCATCTTGAGTCTTGACGTACGTATAAGAAATTGTCGCCTCTTTCACGCTGATTCTGTTCTGTATCTGTTTGAACTGCAGGTTTACCCCACGATCGTTCGATCAATAGGCTTTGGTTGTTGCAATACCTGGACCCGTATTGGAGCAATGGTAACACCTTACGTGGCTCAGGTAAGCCTAGTTCTCGTGACACACATTATAGTCTCCCGGGGGGGAGAGGGGAGGGGGACTCCCATATAAAAAGGAGGGGGTGCTCGTCGGGCCTTTTAGAGGTTAAAAAAGGCGGATTTCGTACCTCTTAGGGTGTTCAGCCTCAAAAGGTCCACAGCG